AGAATATTATCGTTAAAGGTATCGAGTGTCGTTAGTTTTAACAGCTGAGAAGTGAAGGATGAAGATTGAGGTCTTGCAGATGGCCAGCAGAATCTAGAAAGAAAGGAGGTGTATCCAAGAATCCTTCTTGATCGAAATAAGAAGGGAGTGTGTACAAACGAATGTCGGGATTAGAATCAGGATCGAAGTTCGAAGTCGATTGTTGGATTAAACTTTTTTGATATCCTTTGGAGAATATCTCAAGTATTGATTGTGTTTCTTGCGCTGGATGAGATTGAGATTGAGATTGAGATTGTGGTTGTGGTTGACAAACTAGGGCGTTCAAATCAACATGAAGTAGAAACTTTTGGCGTTAGATGAATGAATGCTGGTTGGGTGGGTGGATGGATGGTGGCGGCGGATGAGAAGGAAATCAGCAGGCTTCGGCTTTGAATCAAGTTTGCTTTCTTTAGAACATGCAGAAGTAGAAAATGCGCAAGGCCAGGCAAGTTGACCGGGAAGGTTCAAATGCAGATTTCTTAGGGTTTGTTTGAGACTTTTGAGATGTTCTTAGGTTGTTCTTTTCCTCGCACGTTGTTACGTTGGAATCTTTGAATCTTTGAATCTTTGAATCATTCAATCTTTGAATCTTTCAATCTTTGAATCTTTCAATCTTTCAATCTCGCAAACAGTCAATCTTCCTTTCCTAGCACCGCCTGGGTATGTAGGTATGTATGTAGGAGGTACCTGGGTGATTGATTGTCGAGTCGAGTCGAGTCGATTTGATTTGATTTTTGATGGGTGGATGAATGGATTGATTGATTCAGATCAAAAGTGCCCAGGTAGGTGGTTTACGCAACAATCAATCCTTTTTTCCCTTCCCCAGTTCACTTATAACTTTTGATAATTTCTCTCAATCCAGGACCAGCTTGTGCCGCTAAACAGTATTGGGTATGTTATGTTACAATCCATGGGTACATGCGGGTGCAATTTATTATCCAGGTGGTATCAATTTATTTATTAGTTAGAAGCACATTCATTCATTCATTCATTGCACAAGCAAGATTGCTGATTGCAAAAGATTAGCTAGGGTGGCTAGGTTGTTACCATATCCTTAAAAGGGGGTCTCTCCCTAGAAGGAAAAAAAAAAAGGAAAGTCCAAGGGTTTTTTTCTTCTCATCACCCCCAATCCTGGACTGACTGATTGAAGAAACAAGGGTGATTGGGCCTTTTTTATATGGAATGAAATTGTCAAGAATTAGAATTAAGGTACCACCAGTACACATGTGAAATCGAATCAATACGATATATCCTCGAGTACTGGTATAGAACATCCAATTCAAACTATACTATCCCATCCCATCCGGTACCCTCTTGGTGCTAGGTTTTCAATCGTGAATCCGTGAACCAAATCCATCCTAACTTCTAACATACCCATGCCGTCCGTTTTGGTGCTATGTCAAGTCTGTTTCCAGGCCCGTTCCAATGCTTTCCGCATATTGGTGAAGCATAATCGCCGGATCTATTCTCAAAAGCTCCTGGTCGATCAATAAGAGGCTTCTAGTGATTTTAGTTTGATGAATCTGACCAATTCTCTCTAGAGAATACACTGTAGTCTCATCCAGAATACCGACATCTCACGCTTCCTCACGCTTTCTCACTTCGAACTAAAATGTTAGTGTGTTGCCTAGGTACTCTAGGAATCTAGGATGAGTGATCTTTATTACAGGCGCAGGTTCAGTGCCCTCCCTCCTCTTTCCTTCCTGTTCATCGCTTTTCTCTCCCCTTAACGCTGGGAAGGTAGGATGTTCTTGTAAACCTCAAACGACTATGTCGATGCCCAATAGCATTTGTCGACTTTTCGAGCCCGCAAGTCATGACTTCCTCATATTCCTCATCTTGGCTGCGATGATCGAGTCAATTCCCAAGTAGAGAGCGCCGCTCTTTGTTGGCTGACTAGCATGCTGGCCATAAGTATTCTTCGATCAATGCAAAAGGCTACCTATCTAGGTAATGCTTTTTTCTATTCATGGCTCTATTTTCAGTGATCTGTTACTCAGCTGGAATCTCAAATAGTAGTTCTATTGTACTGTACTCCAAACACTAACAAAAGATGACCAACCTCACCGAATAGTGGCAACCAACTACGGTCTACCATCTCGTCCAGCAGTCAGTAACCCTATAGCTTATCATAGGATAAATCTGTCACTCACAGGCTCACAGCCTCAACTTGTTTACGCGTCCAAAATAATTTAAGTGGCACCTTGCCCTGGCTATCTATTAATACCCCTAGCTACTTTCAGAATTCAGTATGGCTCGCTTCGTGACCATCGTTCGCTTTACGCGATTAGGATTAACTTGAAATGCAGCATCCTGGAAAGCATGCATGTAGAGAGTACTTTGGTTTGAATCCCAGATATCCTTGAGCAATGGGCATGCTGCAATCTGAAATCCCCTTCATGACCTCATCAATACCGCCGAATACAAAACTCTCTGCTGACTTGTCGTCTTTGCTGACCTCCTTTTTGCATTCTCGACCAATTACTTGTTCTCATTCTCTTGCTTCTCAAGTGAGCAATATCCAGTCTCCAGACTTACTCAGCAAAGGACAACGGCGATCACAATAACGGTTTTTCCATATCCACTTCACTCCAATTCTGAAGATCTCATGGAAGATCCAAACTGTCTTTTCCACTCAGAAACATGAAACCCCAATTAATTCCGGTGAAGCTTACCTGGCAAGCTTGGCCGGTCGTTACAATTCATGGAGTACAAAACGGAGTATCGTACTCGTAGAGTCTTTTGAGTTCAACTCGTTCACCAGGTTGCATTTGCATGATGTATCAATTTCGGACCAATTTCCCAAGGTAATCCACAAATTATCATCAGACTCCAAAGGCGCCTTCTTGCACGTGATAAATTCATCTATCAGGATGCCAAAAACTAATGAGATCCACTGCTGTGATATGATATTTCTGTTATCTCTCATCTTTTCGTGTAAAGCTTGGCGGCGCAGGTACCGATCGGGATGATGAAATGGGTGACCGTCCCTACATGCGTATTTGATATCATGAAAAGCGTACATACGGAGTTCCAACTTATATCGGTAAAGGGGTGTGATTGAAGGATTCGGGTTTTACATCGGTTTTGCATCGGTTTTTCCAAAGAGTCTCGTATAAATATTAACATGTACCGCAATTTCAGATTCTAGTGCCGGAAAGCTACCTAGGTAATGGTACTTGTAATTATAAAGGATTGAAGGAAGCTCTGGGGTCTACAATAGTTTCATATTCACGAAGCTACTACTATTGAAACGTTATAATCTGCATGTTACTGACATCCAGTACAGACTATATAGTACTTTCCTCCTCATCAACGGTACCTACCAATCATTATACTTTCTTTACAATTTTACGCCTACTTTCTTACTTTATCTTCATATATCAGCCATCTCCAAAGCTTCAAGAGTCAAGACATTCGATATCTAGGTACTTGAGCCTCACAGTCCTCTTGCAGAACCGTGAGAGTCTCACATTTCCTCAAGTAAATCATTTATGTCATCATACTTTGTTCAATCATCAATCACCCAAATGTCAAGGATTTCTCTTACCTCACTCTGATCCTATCGGTCTGGACCAAGTGTAAGGGTATATAAATTGAGGATCTACCGTAGATTACAATTTATAAAGATTTGATTGAAAGCCAATATGGTGGGCTTTCAAGACATATGAAGCATCCAAGTGGCATGTATATATTTTGTTTCATGATTTTTTATGTCGATTACTTTTGCTGCTCGTATCGAGGGAGTTAGTGTAGAGGCTGTGCAAGGGAAGGCCCGTTTTTACTCTCGAGTTGAGTTGATTATATCGCGGGTGTGTGCAAGCATAAAGTTATGCTTGCAACGTTGACCCACGAGCTCCATTAAATCGTTTGGCAAGGAAATAATACAAAGTTCACTCTGCATATCAAACTTTCAAACGGTTTACCAGAATTGTCCTTCCATTCTGTGGAGCGCTTTCGTCCGATGTAAATACGTACACTCTACGGGCGTACCTATTAATATATTCAAAATTGTTGTTACCAGATTTCGAGTTCGATGCCCGGACATGAAGGGAAGAGAAACTGCGACAATTTGGCAGATTCTGGACATCAAAGGATCGACGAAGAATAGTTAATTATCTAGCAGTGATTTATTGTTTCATAGTAAACAAATTGTCACCGCTTTCTTGGCAAGTGCCTGTGTTTACATCAGAGATACTGTTTCATGCTTCAGGCAAGATAGGCTTCACAGTTTAGATTTGAGATATCAATACCAGATGTAAGAGTTTCATACCTTCTGTCAGACTCAATAGACTCTTGTTCTTTATCTTCAATAGTGCGTTTGGAGAGCGAGGTTTCAATTGGAATTCATGATGAGCAAGAGTTACAAAGAGAGTGGCGATGTACACTACAACCGCTTGAATCAGTACACATTGAATTGAATTACAGCTCAGTAGAATGGATCTGAACATCGTATCTACAAGTTTTCAGCTTTTACAATTTTGGTATACAACTCTGATCATATGTGTCCACCCAGAGTTATTTGCGTTGTTCATATACTCTTTGCTGGTAATTAGTTGCGAGATTTCCTGCGAAAATTATCGGCAGTTTGAATTCAACGAGAAAGCGTACAAGACGACGAGGAAATCTTCGAAGTGTAGGCTATCATTTCAATAAATTCCATCGCTCGTTTCTGTTGAGATACCGGGTTTAGACGCAAAGAACCAGAGCGAGTTTCTGGAAATTCTAGGTACGCTCTCAACTAAACCTGAAAACATCAGAAGAATACTTCTATATGTCGTTTCCGTAATTTCTACGATGCTTACAATCAATCTAGCACAGCAATGGGTAGAGGCCTAGCCCCAAAATATGTGCCCCAACGTTCAATCCAAGTAGATTCATATCACACAGGATCGCATGAGACAGCGAGCCAAAAAAAACACGCATATCATCCAAGTCCACAGCACCAATTCAACAATTCAATAAATAGTTAATATTATTATTTGGGTATCCAATTTCTACATCCATAAAGGATATTAATCATAAATTCATAACTGATCCATCATGCCGCACCCATGGCCGGATTGGCAGCAGTGCGATGCTTCTCAAGGTCACCTTGATAGTGCTCAACGTCAACCCCGTTCTTGTCGCTAATCTCTTGAGCTCTTCGCTCGATATCTGCGGCGTAGCCAGCGTTGTACGATGCTTTGTCTGTTCCAGGAACCTGTTTTGCTGTTAGGATTTGGGTTTCTTGAATAAGTAGTCAGAGTTAGTGATAAAAAAGAAGAACCTACGAGAATGGGTGCATGAGTAAAGAGATAGTTCATTTCTTCCAAAGGTTTTCTCGCGGTTTCGGGCAGGAATAGGTAGAAGAACAGCGCGTTGGTGAAATTGCAAATGATGAAGACGAAGTAGAATTTGTATCCAATGTTTGTCATAGCCATGTCGGTAATTTGACCAATCAGTGTGTTGAAGGCGAAGGAAACCATGGTTGCGATCGAGACACCCTTAGAACGGGTACGGGTATCAAAGATTTCGGCAGGAATTACCCAAGAGAGAGGCCCGCAGGTGCAGGAGAAGGAGAAATTGTAGAGCCAGGTCATGATGATGAAACCCCAGGAGGCGCCAATGTTATGGTTAGTGGCGGGCGGGAAGCTGGCGATGAGGACACAGGCAATGAGGAATGTGAGCTGGAGCGATTGTTAATATTTTATGATCTTACATGTAGAGAAAGTGAGGAATTGGATGACTAACCATATTGAACAGATTGCCCCAGATCAAAGGCCATCTTCGTCCCAACTTATCAATGAACAAGACACAACACGCTTCTCCGAGCAAAGCAATGATATTGTTGATAGCTTGATATTTCAAGGCATCACTTCCTACAATGCCAATCTGTCCATAGATCTTTACGGAATAGTATTGGATTGCGGAAACACCAGTCATTTGAACCGAAGCCTGCAAAGCACACGCGATAAACAATCGACGGAAAGATGACTTGTTTGTGAACAATTCCAGGTAAGATTTTGCCTCATGCTCGTGCTCATACGTAATGCTGTCTTGGATTTGATCGAATTCAGCGCGGACCCAGGGATCATTTTCGTCCCCGTGGGCGTGCAATCTGGCGAGCGTCTTGAGTCCCTTGTCTGGGTATCCATGATCGATGAGCCAACGTGGAGATTCGGGAAAGAGGAAAATGAGACCGGCGAGAACAACGGCGGGAAGCAGTTGGAGTCCCAGTGGCAGGCGCCATTGTGCAGAGTTGCCTTTGATGCCGACGTATGTTCCGTAACTGATCCATCCGGCGACGAGAGCACCAATTCCCAACATGAATTGTTGCAAGGATGTGATGCGACCTCGAATGCTGGGATGTGCGATTTCGGCTTGGTAGAGGGGAATAATCATAACGAGGAAACCAACTAGTGAATTGTTTGTTAGTGATAGTTCGTTGGGGTAGAAGGCTGGGTTTTGATAGCTTACCTCCTAATCCGGCAATCCATCTACCGGCCCAGAGATAATGAATATGCTGTGCACCGGTTTGGAGACCGCCTCCGAGTATAAAGATAAGACATCCTGCAAAGATGGTCCATCGACGACCGAATCTATCTCCAACTGGACCTGCAAGACCGGAACCACAGAATGCTCCACCCGTGAAGAAGGAGACTACAATACCACTGAGCCAGTTAGTTTTGTATCGTATCACTGGAAGAGTACCTCTTACACTTCTGTTGAAGTTGGATGAAATTTTTCGACGAATGTTTCACTTGCAACGACTTCTGCGATAACACCTAATTTACTGTCAGAGCTGGTATATAAAGTTTTGAGTATACAATCTACGTACCTAGATCATAACCGTAAAGGATAGAACCCACAGAGGCGAAAACACCCACGAGGAACTGTGATTCAGTATTAGCAAAGATCAAGAACACTGAGTTTCAACACATAAATCTTACCTGGTAGACTTTTGGAGACAGAACCATGGCTGTAACAATGCTCGAAAGCTTACAGTATCAAATAAGAAAATGTTCTCAAGAAGAGATACTGATCAGAAGGGATCAACAATTGCATGGGAAATCTTCACATCTTATATTCTTCACATCACACATCACAATTTACCAACACCAACAACATGCCATATGATAATACGCTAGTTATGCGGGGATCCTGGGGAAATGGCACCTGGAAGCTCTCGACATGGCACTCTACGATAGTCTTCTAGCTCTCCGCGTTTGGGAACCAGCCACTCCCTTGATGTGATTCGTTCATGAGCTTGACCAATGCATCTTAGTGTGCATGGGTGCTTCGGCTCGACCACGCCCATTGGTACGCATCTGCATGTCCGATTAATGGACGGCCATGACTTCTTCTCTCAAGTTTCCAAGCAATCTTTTGGAGATTGACCGCGGGTTGCTCTTGCTCTGTTGTGGACGGCGTGAGCAGACCAGGGTGTCAAGTTCCAGCGTGGGGTGCGGAGACGTAGAGTTTCGCTTGTTGGTGGCTTGAGATTTTCCATCCATTCAGAGGGGCTCGCTTGTCGGGAGGGCGCGTGCAGCGTCGGATTAAATGGTCCACTGGCTCGGAGCAATGTATATGCGCGCCAATGAGCGCGCAGTGTGGTGACCGACTACCCGCACGTCTTCTTGTTTGTGCGTGTGGATTTGTGAGTCGATATCGTCGTATCAGGTGGATAAGGTGGAGACGGGAGACTGTTCTTCAGGTCTTGTCAGATGCGCTTCCGAGGTTTATTAAGATGGCAGGATTCCTTGTGCAGCGCTTTATGTTGTTTGTTTCATCCCGTGAGCCACGGAATACTACTCGCATCTGAACAAGGGAAAGAGATATTGACACGATGACGACGTTTACGAGAATACCCGATGGGGAGACGCCTTCGATTAGTATTGATGCGTCGAGGAGGTTGTCGAAGATCGGTATGTCTGAGAGAGCTTCATAAGTTGTTTGATATGAAGGTATACTGACTTTGAAATAGACCCTATGATATATGGAGGGTTTATGGAGTGAGTAGTACTTTTTTATATCTTCAAAAGTCTGGTGTCGTTTGACCACTTGGCGGCATCCTCATGAGGATATATTTGATCTCTTCTAAAACTAGAGTCCTTATCTAAACTCGTATGGTTTGTGCTTGGAATTAGAAGGTCTCTAGATGGTGGTGCTCGCTGAAAAGTTGAAGCGAGAAGCCATCGTGTGGATTATACTTTGGCTGTATCTCAAGAGATATCAGATATCAAAGAATGTCAGAAATGTCATTCTGTGCGAATTTTGTCATCTACTGGACATTAGACCTTCTCGGATGGGAGATTCCATGAATATACCACAACCAGCTGAATACGCAATGTCGTTTTCACAACATTCTACTCTACAATACCTGAAAGTTCCCCATATCACGAGCTTGTGGTCTGGAGATAGAATACATACATCTCAGCTTAAAGCCATTACACCTGGCTGTATATTTGCTCACACGTAGTAGACATATGGGCCGTTGCATTTACGGTGGAATATACGATCCTGGTAACCCTCTCTCCGACAAACATGGTTACCGCACAGATGTCCTCGGTGCGCTCCGCGAACTCGATATTCCTGTGATTCGCTACCCTGGTGGAAATTTCATCGCTACATATCACTGGGAAGATGGCATCGGGCCTAGAGAAAATCGACCGGCTCGACCTGAACTTGCCTGGTTAGGAACTGAGACGAATGAATTTGGTACTTGTTCTTCTCATTTTTTGCTTTCGCTTGAGCTCGGAAGCTAACAGTATCTAGGAACTGATGAATTCATGCATTATCTCAGTGTTCTCTCAGAAGGAAAGGAAAAACGAGTCGAGCCCTATTTCTGTCTCAATATGGGAACAGGAACATTGACCGAAGCATTGGCATGGGTAGAGTATTGCAACGGTACTCGAAATACCTACTATGCCAATCTTCGAAGAAAGAATGGACACGAAGAACCATACAATATCAAATACTGGGCACTAGGGAACGAAGTTTGGGGACCGTGGCAAGTTGAGCAAATGACTGCTGAAGACTAGTATGTTGAATCTCCCACCCCAAGAATTCAATGCTAAATAAATCCAGCGCCAAAAAAGCCCTTCAATGGTCCAAAGCTCTCCATCTCCTCGACCCATCACTTCAGCTCATTCTGTGTGGTGAAACAGGTCTCTCCCCCTGGGATCTTACCGTGCTACTACCCAATATTCACCACATAACCATGCACAGTATCCACATCTACAGCACCTCATCCCAACATCTACCCAACGCCCTTTCACCCCTGCAAGCAGAAACCGCCATTGAATCCGCCGCCTCCCTCATCCAAATTGCACGCATCCAAGCCAAGATCCCTCCCTCAGTACCTGTCCCCAAAATCTGCTTCGACGAATGGAACGTCTGGGATCCATTGCGCGCACCCGGAGAAGAGGGCGCTGAAGAAAAATATACTCTAAGCGATGCTCTAGCTGTCGGTGTATGGTTGAATGTTTTTATTCGACAGAGTCGCTATGTGGGGATGGCAAATTTGGCTCAGAGCGTCAATGTCATTTCTCCATTGATGACAAGTAAAGATGGGATTATTAAACAAACGACTTGGTGGCCATTATGGCTATATAGTAAGTATATGCGCGGATGGACTCTGGGATTACATGTGAGAGGTGGGGCGTACGAAGGGGTTCAGGAACCAAAGTGGTTGGGCAGTGTAGTGGGTGAACAGGGAGGAGCAAGCTGGTTGGATGTAGCGGGAAGTATAGATGAAGAAGGAGTGATTAGTTTGTGTGTTGTGAATGTGAGCGAGGAGGAGAGTTTCGAGACGGATTTATTGGGGGTGAAGGGTGAGGTTGATGTTTTCACTGTCACTGGAGATAATGTTAAGGTGACAAACACTGCGGAGAAGGAGGAAGTCGGTATTAAGGAAAGTAAATGGGACGGAAAGGGTAAATATACTTTTGGAAAACACTCTCTTACGATGTTGAGATGGGCAACGGGAGAGAAAGTTGTGGAAGTCAAGAGGGGTGAGGGAGAGAGATTGGATACGAGAAAGTTGGCGTGGGCGGGTGATAGGGAACTTGAGAGATCCTAAGTATATTATAGAAATATAATTGTGAAAAGAAATTCGTGCAAGAAGTCTAATGATCTGTACACTAATGACTGTTGATAATACCTCCAATTATGTATACCTGAAGAATCATAGGCCTTGCCAACTTTCAGACATTTTCTCTCAGTCTATTTTTCCTTTCTGACACAAAAAACCCACTTTCGTAGAATTTACACGAATATTGTTATGACACAAGCAATGGCTTGGGAGGCCTAGGTGCCAGTTCCCTGCCAAAACTTTTCATTGATCCACTAAGGTGATCTGCGTGAAATATTAACCTTGGTTTTCGAAACAAGAACGGAATCGATGATGAATCCGATGCTGAAATAGTAGTTGTAGCCGTGAAAACCGGAGTAGGCGCCGACAATACTGAAGCGATAATAACAGGCAAGAAACTCCAGACGAGGAGTCGTGAGATAGGTTTCATATTCTTCCAAGTATCTGAGTCTTGACCTCGGTCTAACTCCTATTCTGCACTTCAGGAAGTCTAAACTTTCAGACTGACTTGGAGAGGACTTCGGACTCGGGATGTTTTTGAATATACGATTGTTTATTTGCCACTAAAACTTTCAGTTCGGTAATCGAAACGTCGAGAAATAGAAGGTAGTTTCGAGGACTGAGTATGCGATTCGAGATCGAAAGCAGGATTCTTTGGATAAATGCGAATGATGACTGGCGGGGTAGAATCCGTATATATGCGGCGCGGGGTGATATGGTGGCTCTTTATGGGTAGACGTGTTGGACCGACTGTTAGGAACAGGGAAATCTGTATCTTGAGTACATTTACTCGAGAATGAGTAACAACTAGAACTTCTACCAAAGGCATCCGAGAATCTTATATACGCGAATGTGTATTCAAAAGTAACAGAAAAGATATTGCGACAAGAGAAATATATTCGCAAAATCGCAAGAGATGTAAGATTACATGTGTTCGGTATAACTAAACACATACTTGCTAATCAATGTATCACTGAATGAACCTTTCTCATCAAAAAATCAAGAAATATAACTTCAAAGAAAAATGAGTGGAGAGGGGTAGAAACTGTTCTAGAAGAAGAATCCTAAGCCCTATCAGCAATCAAGAACGATCGAGAGCCAACGCATTGTTCTTGGCTGAACACCGACCAAACGAGGTCTTGCATACATCAGGGATGAGATGAAACGAAACAAAAATAATTCCATACAACTAGGCTAGAAATCAAAAGAAAATTGTGAAATGAATCATTTGAATAGGGTTGATAACGGAAGCGAAAATCAAGGAGGAATATGACTCCTGAAATGTTAGAAGCAGAAAATTCAAAATAGGTATTGGCAATGAACACATGCGTCACCTTTATGCACTTACCAGGAGAGACAATCAACTCGAAAGTAGAATGAAGTCCGATGTAAACACGGTTTTAAAGATATAGAGAATGCAAAAACATAAGTCAAGAATAATTATCTGTTATTGTATTAATTTTTGTAGCTACCTGTTGTACCTTACTATTCTGCTAATTGCTGCATAATCCTCTGCTACGTCTCTCTCTACAAATAATATTTGCTTAAATCAGCACACCATTTGAAATGAATCTTGAGATTGACTTTCCACTATCTGAAATTCTCAGAATCTTTTTCTGAAAGTTTTGGTGTTCAGAGAAGTGGTTGTTGCACCTCCCAAGCTATTACTTCCTTGTCTCTTCAATCCTCTCAAATTACTTTTCGTCTTTGCTCCCCATCCTGCCTCAAAATCTTCATCTCTCTTTGAGCCTTCGCCGTTCAATTTTTCATTCTCAGGTTCGGGCTCTAAATCGCTTGAAAGGGTCAGATCCATGTATTGCGAACTTTGTGGTGCTTTAGAAATTTTGGGCGTGGTCTGATCTTCTTCATCAGAAGACGGATCAAATGCAGCAATGGTCTTCTTTGGTTTGATTTCAGCTCCCTTTGGTTCAAGCTCGGCTCTCACCTGCACTGCATCCGACTCTGAGTCTGAATCATCAAATGCCACGAACGCTTTCTTACTCTTATCATCTGCCGGGATTGCTGAAGACTGCGTATCGTCGAATGCTGCCAAAGTCTTTCTCGTCCTGGTGACAGTCTGCGGCTTTTTTGGAGGAGGCTGCGAAGCGTTCTCCTCAGGCTTCTTCAAAGACTGGGAAGGCTGGCTGAGAAACTCTTCAACAGTTGGAAAATCATCCGATGAAGGTACATCCTTATCGTCGTTCTCAGTAGGTTTGCTAGTCGAATTGGATAGGTGTGGAGGAAGTTCGGGCTCATCACCATCCTGTGTTGCCATATCCATTGTTGTAACATCTGTTTTGGCGTCATGAGATTCCTGGTTTCGTATGTTCTCAAAACTGAAATCTGGTTGCCGTCCATGATCAGTGACCAAACTTGCGAATGATGATTGCCCTGATAACTTTGGGTCTGTTGCTCTACAATCTACCTCAATCGTGTCAAGTGTTTGGTCTGTCTCAACTGGACTAGATGCATTTTTACGTGGCTGAAGGGCTTCCCACGATGCCTGAGCCTTGTTGACATTGACTTTCTTGGTGGTTGGCTTGGTGTGAATGCTGGGTACATTTGGAGTTACTTGTGGCACTCTTGTTGTTAAGTCCTTTTGAATAGTTGATTCAGCTTCTTGATTTGCAGCCACATCCGGTTTATCGTGGTTTGGACCGCTTGAAGGTTCTTGAGATCCTACAGTGTGCCAACTCGATTGTTGCCTGTCAGGAGAAGTGATTGACTGTGGTTGTCGGGTCGGGGAGCTCGAACCGAAACCATTGAATTTTGGCGAAAACGAAGTTTCGTCAATTTCATTCATTCCATCGTGCTTAAGCGCTTCTTCACCCTTTTCCAAATCGTTGAGAGCAAAATCTCGGACTATGGAGGAGGGTACATTAGAACGAAAACCAGCTTCCTTGATAAGATGTGAAATATTTTCCTTGGCACTATCAGTGATTGATTGCGGTAATGCTTCAGCTTGCAGATACTCTAGCTTCGAATTACGTGGCGTACTGATCATATCTGCAGTTTCGGTAGGAGCTGGTGGGTCTGTGTCATAATACTGCGTCTCTGTGACATGAGAGCATTGTGTTTCGTCTATATTTTCGTTGCTTAAAGTCACGGATTCATCAGTCGCCATGCCATTTTTGGAGATTTCGGTAGACAGGCTTACTGGGGCAGGGGCGACAATCTTCGGTTCGACAAGCTCGTAGAAGGTGATGATCATTTCTCCATTGTCCTCTTCCTCTTCATCCTCTTCTTCATTAGGCATTTCAAACTTTCCCCAAATCCTCTCTCCATTTTCGTCGTAATGCTTCACTGGGTAATCTCTGTCTCTTCTTGCCAAAGAAACTGTGATATCACCGTTGTCGTCGACGGAAAGAACGGAGGCTGTACGATAAGCTGAAATTTGTGGTTGCCATTTTGTAGATTCGTCCATAAGCATTTGCTTGAAGGCAATGATCATCCCAGATTGTACCGTGTTTAGTTCTAGATTTGGCAGACTAGCTGGATCTTCTGGGAGTTCGACTAGATCAGGGGTGTCTTGGACAGGATTTCCCATTTCGGTCCTGAGCTCCACACTCTCAACCTGTCTCGCTGGCGGCTCCGTCGATTGTGTCTCCGTGACATCTTCCTCGTAGCTTGGCTGGTATGATTCGTCAAAATACTCCTCCTGTTCTTCAGAGTAGTTTTGCTTTCCATTGCGTCGCTTTCGTTTCTTCGAACCTTGTGAATCTTCATTGTGCCCTTGCGCCTGGTTCTTCCTCTTGCCACCTCTATTATTTTGCTGTTGAGGATCCCATCGCTGAACGAATGGAAACGGTGGCTCGCTCAATACAACACCATCTTGACAACATTCGACCGCTCGATAGACAGCAACCTTATCTCTCCATCCATCGTTATCAACAGCGAGAATGTCAGTCTGCTGGGCGGGAACTTCTTCAGGCGGATTGACAGTCTTAGAAACACGGACATCTTTCATCAAGTCATTACGAAGCTTGTCCTCGTCCTTCTTCGTCTTAGGATTCTTCATACCAAGTGCACCAAACAATAATCGACGACCGGCACCCACGTCTAATTTCGCTCGTCGTGACTTGGATCCTTGATTTGCACCTGTTGGCATGGAGTCAAAATCCTCTTGTGGATCCACGTTGATGAAATCGGAATCTTCAGTGGGATTCTCGGATGCATCTTTGCCAGTTTTAGGAGCACCGCTTACCATTTCTGGAACATCGGCATCCATAGTATCAACCACAGTTTTGCCAGTTGTTGGAGATACCTCGATACCACCGGACGCAAGAGACGCAAGCAATTCACGTCGCCGCGCCTCGAACTCGTCAGCTTCGGAGAGTGCTTTTTTTGATCCATTCTGAATTTTGACGGAGTTGGCGTTGGCTCTCAATACTGCTAGCGCTGCAGATGCGTCTTCGGGAGAAGTGCTATCATTGACTTCTAGCTGATTGAATTCAGATACTTTAGTGTCCTCTGGAAGAATTCCTCGCTCTTTCAGCCTGGCAAGAGCAATACCCTGTTTACGACGCTGATTCCTGGAGTGCGTTGCTTTCTTGCCCTGTCTAGGAGGCACAGGAACTCGTGATTTTGGAACAAGTTTGTCGGTAGATGGGTTAGGTTCTTGCTTAGCAGCTTCAAAAACTGGCACAGCCTGTTTACTCGATTTGACTTCCGGTGCTTCATCATCACTCGAAGAATCGCTATCACTGTCACTATCAGACGATGAGGATGATGCGTCAGCAGCCTCACTAGAATCGTCTCCGCTGGATGAGTCATCGCTATCATCACTACTGCTGCTTGAATCAGCTTCGGAAGACGATTCTGAGGACTCGTCACTATCAATAGATATTTCATCATCATTGGGCTTAAGATCTATTGCTGGTGTAGAGGTAAGCCCGCTGCTCAAACCTCTACCTGCAAAAGTGCTACCATTACTAGTAGATATCGCTGCAGGACCGGTTTCAAACTTGGTATGTTTTGACTTTGAGTCG